CAGGGAGATGGGCTCAGCCCGATACTGTTCGTTTGTTGCCTGGAGGCTGCCCTGCGGAAGTGTTGGGACCGTTTCCCTCCAAGGCCAGAGCATGATAAAATGATCCCACCAGAGACAGGTTACGCTGATGATGTTAACTTCCTGTCCCTAGGCACACTTAACTCCGGATTCCCCGCGCACGCGCGGCCGCACGCACACTTCCCCGCACGCACACTTCACGTGGACAATCGACCATCACATGTATACATGTACATGTAGCAGAGCTTAAAACTGACACACAACTATTACTTCACAAGAGACAAAAGAGGAAAGGTTAGCACTACATTGCTGCCCTGTACGCGAACTGTTCTATTATTAGTAGTACATGTAGAATGTACTTTGGGCGCGTTCGAATTGTCACTCTGACACTTTTCGAAGAGCTTCGTTTTTCTGAAGAGGTGGCCTTATTGGCCTCTTCACAAAAACGAAGCTCTTTGAAACTCCTCGAAACTCCACAACCTCACCCGATGGGAGAGGTGGATTAGTTTCGAAGAGTTTGGAATAGCTACGTCACGTAGTGCGTGGAGATGGTCGATCTGATCGGACGTCATCTTCGCCATGACAATTCCACTGAAAAGCTCTTTTAATGATAGAAACCGTTCTAATGGGACACTTCAACTAATCTCTTTATAAAATTTGTTTGAAAAGTTGATGAAGGCAATTCGAACGCGCCCTCAGTATCCCTAACAGCTTGTCTTTGGACGGTGTATCTAGTGAAGAGACGGTTCGATACCGGAACGGTTTGACAGCCAAATTTGTATAGATCCAAACCGATCATCAGCGTGGATTGTTCACTCGAAATATGACTGTTTGTGGAAGGAAACTGGCATGTTGAAGTTTGCTCTGAGGCCAGACTCAATCGAACTGAGCCACTCCTTTGTGTTGGCCCATTGCCTCCAAGTTGCCCAATTTTTCGATTCAAATCAGAGGTGGCTTCGGAAAGGTTTTAGAGTGCACGTCAAATTCACTCTGAGTTCTGAAATAGGTAATTGCTATCGCTCCACGATGGCCAGTACAGAGTAACAATAAGCCTTGTGTGTGCTTCCATTAGTTTTCATTGGTAAAAGGTGCTTTATTGGCGAGAGGCGAGCCGCTGTTTACCTGCGACGAGAAGTTGATTTTTCGAAAGACGTAAAACTCAAGTCGCAGTGCGAAGCAACACGTCAAAAACTCACCTGCTTGGTATGGCGCTTCTGGTCATCGCAGAGCCATGACATTTTGGCTCAGAGTAAAACACATCGTAGTCTCACTGGGACATATGTTTTCTAATCAAAATACCAAGAGAGAAAGTGACTATTGAGTCCGTTCCGATTTGCGACATATCTCCTATTTGAAACCGTCTCCTCTACTGTATGATGATTGTGTCTGTGGGCAAGCCATGACGATTGACCACGCTCTCACCTGCCCGTCGGGGGGATACCATATGCACGGCACGATCACGATGAGATTCGTGACATTTTGGCGGACAGTACAGTATACAGGTACTTGTAGTATCGCGGTGAGGTCCTTCCAGACGTTGAGGTGGAACCACTGTTGTTTCCGTTCGAGGGTTAAACTCTGCCTTACCGCACTGATAATCGCTCCCCGGAGGCTCGCCTGGACATTCCGGCGCAGGGTTTCTGGACGCGGCAGCAGGATGCCTTTTTTGATGTCCGGGTTACACACCCGAAGGCAACCCTGCAGTTGCGTACAGACGTCCTGCGTCAGCTCAAGACCCACGAGCAGGCGAAGAAGAAGCAGTATTGCGCTCGGGTAAGCAGTGTTGAGGGAGGGTCTTTTACATCATAAGTGTTTTCTACAACGGGCATGTGTGGCCCTGAAGCATCCCTGTTTATGAAGAATTTGGTAGCTATCATTACTGGAGACTAAGGTGTAGTAGAGTCACTGTGTCTGCTTCGTTGGGCAACCACATGTATCGGACGGTCCCGGGCATCGTACAGAAATAGGGCCTTTATACATGTGAATACATGTAGCTGTCGTTCTTTGCCAGTACGGTAAATTTAAATCGGTACTGGATAACAGTATGACAGTGTACGGTAATGTCTGTCTGTGCTCTTTTACCTCTTTTTTTTCTTTTTTAGCATTTAAATTGGTTGATAAATATGGTGGTAAAGACACACCTGGCAATATGGCGGTAAACACACGCCTGCCCACACATGCTCTCTAGGCCGCAAAGGAACAGAGCTCTCCTTCTCACCACCACCACCATCAGTTCGCGCCTGGCGCCTCGTCGATGCATGGTTGGCGGTATCCGACATAGCAGGCTGGTACATGTACATCAAGTAGCACATGGCGCATAGAAGATGACACAGCAACGACATAACATACATGTACAAGTAGCTCGATTGCGATGTACATGACTTTGTACATGTACATGTACGGTTCGTCCCCGCTGGACTTTTTTTATTTTTTTATTTTTACTATTGACACAGCCCTACTGGAATACAGGTGGAGAACAAAAAGAAACGAGGAAAAGGACAAAACATAGGGGATGTAGGGACGACGTGCTGATGAGTGATGTGCTGGGAGCAACTCAACCGACCAGAGGTCTCGGCGTCAGCGTTGCAACTAGGCATCGAAAAATGTGTGTGCGTGGGGGGGGGGGGGGGGGTTGCACAAGAACTACTGCAAAACAAACAGAAGCTAGAGAATACCACAAAATAATAACTTGGTGCGAAATAATGAGAAGAAAATAATGACGCCCAAAAGCGCTAAACTCATCAGGCAATCTTCTTCTTGGATGTCTTCATACGGAGCTTGACTCGGGCATTTTTTATTGATTTTTGTATTTCAAAATACATGTAGAATAATAATACTTACAGTAATTTCAATTTATTTCATGATACATACATTGATACATACATGTACATAATATACAGCATTGTGCAATTCGTGTTTCCCGTACAAGAGGCTTTTGTACTGATCGGAGATCTACGCCGAACTTAGCGGAGGTATTAACATTTTTAATTTTTTTTTACTAAGTACACAACCTACTCGTCAGAAGGGGATAACTTAACATGTTCTAAATCAAATCAAGGCGCTCAGGTAGACTTTCTGCTACAAAAAGCTAAAGCTGGATAGAATACAGACTCATCAACACAACTACTGACCACACAGTCATCATGACTAGACGTGTAGATCTACGATGCCCGGGCACGGAGCTCCAGCGTGAATGATGCACCCGGTGCGCTAGTTTGTTGTTCAGTAGTAGTACTAGTAGTACTGTACACTGTTACTACAATGTAGTTTGTACCGAGTTCCTGTGCCTAGCGCGCCTGTGCCTAGTGCATGCAGTACCACCAGTACCAGTGCCAGTGGCAGTGGTGGTGGCTTCACACAGACAGTAGTGCTAGTAGTAGTACATGCTGTGTAGTACAGGTGAAATCCTGATAATTCGAACCTCAAAATGCCAGGAAAAAACTTCTAATTATCCGGACATTCTAATTATCCAAACATGAACCCACAACTCAATGTGTATGTCAAAATGCTCTTATGGTCACGCAGAGTTGCGCTATGGACCTGAGACACAAATTTTACGGACACTGAACTGACCGGCACAGACCATGCAGACTGCTCATGCAAACTGGACTGACCAGTACAGTGTACAGTGAACTTCGAATTACACTTTGCTAACTTCGAATTATCAGCACAAATCCCACACATTTTCTGTGTAAGTGGAATCTGTGGGACTTCTAATTAAAGGGGAAGTTAAGGCAAAAATCAAAATTTCACCAGTTGTAGTCTTCGGGGTGCTGAGTCGAATGGTCTCGGTCCGAGAAAGCTGAGACGCTCCCTTCCTACTTGAATCCCAATCGAACTCGCGCACTTCCACCGAAACTGGGTGACTGCGCCCTACTAGATGGGGATTTGTATGCAAAATGTCACTAAAAGCGCTATTTCGTTCTTATAAAAGCACGGATGACCGCGATTGGCCCATGTGTTGTAGTCTTTTGGACGCTGAGTCGACTGGTTTTGGTCCGAAAAGGCTGCGATGCAGCGTTCCTCCTTTATTCCCAATCGAACATGGTTGAAGAAGCCGTCACGTGCTCCTGGGTGCCCAAATCACCTGGTCACCACGCCAGCAGGCGACAACTTTCACACCAAGGTTCAACTCGAGTGACAGGACCGCACCCAAAAAAGGTCAAAACAGGCTGTAAGTTGTACCCTGCAGGCACGGTGACCAGGTGACTGGTGTACGCAGGAGCACGTGACCGCTTGTTCAACCATGTTCGATTGGGAATTAGGGGCGAACGCTGCATCGCAGCCTTTTCGGACCAAAACCAGTCGACTCAGCGTCCAAAAGACTCCAACATATGGGCCAATCGCGGTCAACCGTGCTTTTATAAGAACGAAATGGCGCTTTTAGTGACATTTTGCATACAAATCCCCATCTCGTAGGGCGCAGTCACCCAGTTTCGGTGGAAGTGCGCGAGTTCGATTGGGATTCAAGTAGGAAGGGAGCGTCTCAGCTTTCTCGGACCAAGACCATTCGACTCAGCACCCCGAAGACTACAACTGGTGAAATTTGGATTTTTGCCTTAACTTCCCCTTTAATCGGACATGTCCAGTTCGAGGTTCGAATTATCAGAAATATTTATGTGGGAATCGTATTGATAGAAATCGGTCCTGGAAAAACTTCTAATTAAGCGGTATGTTCGGTTTAAGCCATAGTCGAATTATCAGGATTCCACCTGTAGTCAGTGTAGACGTGTAGTGGCAGTGCTAGTACAAGTACTACAACTACAAGTACTACAACTACAAGACAGTACAAGACCAATCTATTTGCGCACAGTGCCAATGTGCACAGCAATCACAAGCATGCGCTGCACGCGGTCACTGCCACAAAGCGCCAGTCTGCCCTGCAAGACAGACTCGTGACTCAGCCCAAGTAGCCCCGCACTAGCCTGACAAGGTAACAACACTCAACGCTGACAACAGTTCAGTGTATGTAGACCCGCGCAGAGCTAGACTAGACTGGAGTGCCCCTCCGTTGACGGTCGGTGCGTCGACCACGTCTAGTTTGGGATCACACCTTCACTAGTAGTAGTACTGACTTGCTCGATGCTCACGCGCCAAAGCCTGGCGCAGGCTTATCAAAAAAGACAAAATGAAGAGTGGAAGCTTGCAGGCTGACCAGTTCATATTTTCTTGGCTGTGGTCGAATCAGGATTCTACTTTCCATTTCCGCTAGTTCGTCCGAAATCGTGAACCAGCTGAAGTGTTACCTAGAGCGAACTATTATTCACAAAATCAGTATTAGTGACTAGTGACTATTACTTGTGAAGGGCGTTAGACTATGAGCATGGGTATGGCAATGGATGAGGAGGCCATGTGCCATGTTGCTAACAACCCTGAAAGTAGCGTCTCCACAGTCGCTAGGTCTAGCGATAATTCGTGCGTTCGCAATACACAGCATTGTGAAAGAGCAGGTATCTCGGAGCAAGAAGCACACTCCAGGGCGGATATCGGCACGCACGGAGCAGTTGCTACCAGTGTAAGTAGTGGTCTTGTTGGGAGCAGTACAGAATCCTTCAGTGATCCATATGACCAGATGATGTTTGGACGACATTCCCCCGGCGGCTCTAGTATTACAAGCTTCGGTAGTACGCGCAGTACGGATCCACTTCGTCCGCCATCACCGGATTTCTCACATCTCAGCGACGACGAACGGAGGTGTATTCTACGAGTATTGCGAAGGCAGCAGGACGAAGAACGGCAAAATGTCAGGTAAGCCATTATTAGCTGTATTCGAAAATAATTACTTTTGCTTTGTCTCATGCAGCGAATGCCGCTGAGCAGTGAAGTGGAACAATGGTAATTTGGATGATGTTATCGGCATGTTTCCCTGCGTATAATGGGGCAGCGTTGTGAGTGCTGTTGTTACTGGTAAGGCTGGCCCGTACATGATGGCTAGGGCCTGGGGAGTAGATTGAGAAGAAACAACATCAAGAACAAAGTAGTCGTAAGGACATGTAGGTCGTGTTGTATGCAGTGCTCAGTTTCCGGTGTCTTTGCTTGTCGTTCACTTTGGCGTACTTCAATCTCCGGACGACATAACCTTGCGCGACAGTTTGCCACTGGCTGTGGTTCAATACCATGAATAGTACGCCACTACAAAAATATGAAATAACTGTAAAATGTTCCGTTTGCCACTGACACTGTGCACTGTGGTGTACTGTCCACTGTGCACTGTGCACAGTGGACTGTGGTGTACTGTGGTGTACTAGGCCACTACATATACATGTACAGTATAGTACTTCGGGCCACAAAGTATTTTATTCATAATACATACTGTCATATACATGATACATAATACATATACATGGTTGTATTACTGTACAATGTTGTCATACCCAGCACACTAGTACCAGTCCTAAAAACAAAAGGCTAAAGTCAAGACTATTGAAGTCTATCGCCAGTCATGATTGTTGGAGGTAATGTATGGTGAAAGCGGTATGACAGTTACTTGTACATACTAACATAGGCATTGTTGTACGTTGGAGTTTGTGTCTGTTTGCCTACTACGTACTGTCATGGATTGAGCCAGTGCCAGTGCACATGTCCGTCACTGTTGACGTTGTGTCTGCCCCACACCCACACTACTATTAGTACCAAGAGTATAAACCTATTTTTCTCTCCGTACTTTAATAATTGTACCTGTATATCAGAGCTGCGGTTTTACTGGATCACTGGATCTGGGCGGAAGTAGATGATCAATGATGGCTGTTGTTTTTGAAGGGGTGGTGACGGGTGTGAGGCAGAGGCAGTGGTATTGGCGGGTGTGTAAGCAGTGCATGGCAATGACTGCACTGGGTGTGTGTGTGTCCTATTGACTATATGGATGTTAGTAATGGAATTGGCTGCACTAACGATATTATTGCGAGTACTAGTACTAGCAGCTCAACGTATAGTCTGTAAGATTGTATTGTGCTGCTAGCATGGAATACTGTCCAGTAATGCAATAATTATTACTAATGCCAGTGATGGAACAAAAGACAATGAATAGGGGGGCTACGGCTTGAACTGGGGAATGCATGGCTTCATGCAAAAACTGGATCCACTTGGATCCATACAAGTACGGGATTCACTTTGATCCAGTTATTGTATGAATACAAATAAAAACTGGATGCAGAAGTAGTTGGCATTGTCATAGCTCCCCCCCCCCCCCCCCCCCCCCCCCCCCGCTGGCTCTGACCTTGCAGTTTCCTCCCTTTTACAAACACATGACTGTAGTACACTGCCTTTTACAAACACTAGTACATGTACATGTACTATGTAGTACTATGTAGTACTATGTAGTACTATGTAGTACTACATAGTACTACATAGACTATACTACATAGTACTATGTAGTACTATGTAGTACTATGTAGTACTATGTAGTACTACATAGTACTACATAGTACTACATAGTACTATGTAGTACTATGTAGTACTATGTAGTACATGACTGTAGTACAATCATGTAAAATGTACACTGTAATGTTGATATTGGCCAGAACAAAATGTAAATAAAAATCTCTTTTTTATCAGCAGTGTCAGTATGAAACCTGACACCACCTGTGACTATGTACAAAGGACCATACATGTTTAGAGCACGTGTACATAGATATTCCCTATGTGAAACACAAACTATTTGAAACTATGTGAGTAGAGGGTGATGAACTGGATCAGAACGACAAGAATGTGTGCCTGTCATTTTGACGTAGTTTTGGTAGAGGAATTCTTGTTGGAAGGTGATCAGGCAGCTAGGGTGTGTGCAATGAGAACTACGGTGGGGTTTAGTAACGGTGTTAGTTAGTGAAGCCACGGACTTAGAATGTGTACATGTGTAATGTGTGTGTACATGTGTAATGTCTGCATGACGTACATGTACACGCACCTGTCTGTCTCTGTGTTACAAAAGAAGTATAAAGCCTTGAAGGTGTGTATTTGACTAGACTCCTTGTACTGTAACAGGAGTCGTAAAGTTACTACTTACAGGTGACTACATGTCACGAAGTTTTTGTTTCCGGAGGAAGTAGTAGAATACTGAAGTCCAGCACGTCCCCCAGCTCTCCGCCACATGTACATACTCACTAAACTACCGTAAAGCGTTGGGAAGGGGGGGGGGGGTGGGAGAGAAGAAGCACAATTTCATACTGATATCCATTCGTTTTGTTCAGGACAGGACCGGGGTAAGTTCAGTGTGGCTACGATCAACTAGTGTATTTCAGTCTCCCCTGTATGGTGAGTTTAGCAATAATTACATGCAGTCTCTGCTGTATGGTGAGTTTAGCAATAATTACATGCAGTCTCTGCTGTATGGTGAGTTTAGCAATAATTACATGCAGTCTCTGCTGTATGGTGAGTTTAGCAATAATTACATGCAGTCTCTGCTGTATGGTGAGTTTAGCAATAATTACATGCAGTCTCTGCTGTATGGTGAGTTTAGCAATAATTACATGCAGTCTCTGCTGTATGGTGAGTTTAGCAATAATTACATGCAGTCTCCCCTGTATGGTGAGTTTAGCAATAATTACATGCACATGAACAGTGGACAGGTTTAATGTGTCCATCGTTGTTGAGTATGAGTGACTTTGACACTCTAGAGGTATCCACTTTCGTCTACAAGTAGCCACACTTCCACTGGGCAGAGAACTGTGGATCTCTGAAACCATTGGAATCCAGATGAACAGTGTATACATGTAATTATGTGTATACTCAATCTGCCGACAGAACTCATCTTTTGTGGACTCATCAGCGCAGCGCAGAGAAAATGAGGCCGAATATGTGTATAGTATATGTGGGGGGGGGGGGGGGGGGAGGGGTAGAGATCTTAGAATATGCTGTGGATGTGGTGGTGGGTGTTTGCACCTGTTCATCAGTCTAACCAGCTCAAGTAGTGAAGTACTTGATATCTGTCCTTCCATCAACTCCACACTCCTACTAGTAGTACTAGGTGGAAGGTCCAGCTGTACTTAGCAATCATGGACAACTGAGCAGTACCACTGAGTACTAGTATTAAGTATACAATGTACTTCTCCACTGTTGCAGTAATTAGTATTAGGTACGGCCGCCAGTGCACCTAACTAACTACGTAGGAAGTTATTAGCATATTCCAACATCTTACTATGCCATCCAGTCCAGCTAAAGTGTGGTCAAGAGCTGCTACTAAACTGGAGATCACACACTGGAGATTTACATATTTTGTCCCCCTGGGTTGGTGTGTAGGGTCATCTCCCTGATACACAATCATATTACCGCCACATTGCTGTGACATGGACTAGAAGGCTCAGGGGGGTGTGTAGAAACCTGGTGGGGAGGGGGTGCACCCGGGATGCACATGAACAGTCGGTGCCAAGGAACCGCCTAGCTCCTAGTCAGTGTAAACCTTTTTACGACTTGCATGCGCCGTGATTGCATACTGTCCACCTCCAAAAAATCAACGTCCGTACATACTTTGCCTTCATTCTTGTCAAGAACGCTGGTTTCGGTGACCGTTGCTCCGAATCACGTTCCAAGAGGAATGGGGACGCACAGTATGGTATCATAACGATAACCCTTTGGGATCTAACAATATTATACATATAGGTCGCCATTTCAGGCGTTTGGCTTGCAGAGAACAATCGCAAAGAGATCCGTTTATGTAGTGCTCCGCGATCAGCCTTTGCAATTTCGCATTTTCGATCATTGTTGCTTAGTTTCGCTGATCATTTTGTGTATTGTATTGTATTTTATTATTTTACTTGGGCATTCCCAACAGTCTTCTTACAGGGTGCCCAAGATAAATGAATTTGTTAAGTGACCATAGCGAAGATGTGACTTTATTCCAGTGGATCCCTATGTTCTGCAAGAGACGGTGAGCACATTGAGAAAGGAGCAGACAGTAGCCCGAGCGCCCCCATCTGAATCCAGCCCTGAACCTATGCTGATAGGCTGGTCACCGACTCTCCCTAGTTACTACTACTACACTAGTAAAAATTCTACAAAGACTACAAGTATACTCTCCAGACACACATACACACACACACACACACACACACACACACACACACACACACACACACACAAGGTCTTGTGGAATTCCTCTCCCACCTTGTGTGTGAGGGGGAACGCACTGGAGATAGTTGAGTGCGTATCTGTCAACGCGGTCTTGGAACTGAGACTCTGGCCCACTCTCAGAGATCATTCTGTGATGTTTACTACTTACGCAACGGACGTTGGTAGAGTAGAACAATGAATGTGTGGAATGTTAGCTGACATCCACCGCTAAGTGCCTCTGCGTTGGTGTGTGTGTGTGTGTGTGTGTGTGTGTCAACGTGTCCATAAGTGTGTATGAACGTGTGTGCGAGTCAACGTGTCCTTGTATGTATGTGTGTGTCTTTTTCCGGAATCCGTTCAAGTTCCTGAAGCTTGTGTGTGCCATTTCGCATTTGGGGAGAATTGAAAATCGTCGCAAAATGTCCATTTTCAAAACAATAGGGCAAGCTATTCACATCTCTGTGCAGGCTAGGTCCAGCCTACATCCCTGAGCCTAATTCCATGATAGATGCAGGCTAGTTGCAGGCTAGGTCCAGACTAAGACTCTAGACTAGGTGCAGGCAGGGTCCTGTTTGGGTTCAGGCGGAGGGCCTGGGCAAGGTGCAGGCGGAGGGCCTGGGCAAGGTCCAGGCGGAGGGCCTGGGCAAGGTCCAGGCGGAGGGCCTGGGCAAGGTCCAGGCGGAGGGCCTGGGCAAGGTCCAGGCGGAGGGCCTGGGCAAGGTCCAGGCTAGGACACAGCTAGATGCAGGCTACAGTACTTTTGGGCTAGGTAGGACACGGGAAGATCCAGGAAAATAATTGGTGGAGATGGCACTAGCCCTCTGCCAATTACACATGGGCATAGTACAGGGAAATTCCCTTTTCAAACCTACCAGCATGACAACGGAAGCCACGTCAACAACAGCTTGTGTGTAGACTGACTTCTGTCCCTTCTGGCATGCACTTGCTTGTGGCTACTAATCCTTTAGCTTAGGAACAAGTTAGGTAAAACATGCTAACAGCTTACAGCTTAGGTGTAAGGTCCATCCTTCTCGGCCCTCTGGAACAAGAGGTGACATCACTACGCAGTTCTCAGTGCCAGCTGTTGAGTATCAGGTGTTTATCTGTCACAATAAGCAAATACACACGTGCACACATGTGTACAAACACATAAGTTCACACCCAGCCATGTGCACACACATTCACACACACACAGACGGACACACACACACAGGCGCACACACACACACACACACACACACACACAGGCACACACACACACACACACACACAGGCACTCACACACACACACACACACACACACACACACACACACACACACACACACACACACACACACACACACACACACACACACACACACATACACACACAGGCACACACACACACACACACACGTACACACACGTACATACAAACACACACATCATGAAGCAAGTGAATAAATAATAAATATTGAATACATTAAAAACTACAACTGGCAATTACCACTAAGTGGTAACAGAATTAGACATGAAGCACCCGGAAACCTAAGCTCTTTTCCCAGAGGATGCTGGCCAGCCTGCAGGATGAAGTGCTCAGTTAGCTAGTGGTTCAGTTTGCCAGGTGCTCAGTTTGCCAGTAGTTCAGTTAGCCAGGGGTTCAGTTAGCCAGGGGTTCAGTTAGCCAGGGGTTCAGTTCGCCAGAATGCTGGTGATGGCGGGTGGTGGTGTTGGTGATGTGCAAGTGGAATGGGTCAACCCAGTGCATTGTGGTAAACTGAAGTCAACTGAAGTGACTTTGACGGCCAGTTGTACTACGATGTCCTCGTTCTGTCTGTCAATGTTATGTTAGTCCAGGAAGTGTTGTCCAGGTTCCAGGTAGGGATGTCCAGGTAGGGATGTTAGTCCAGGTAGGGATGTTAGTCCAGGTAGGGATGTTAGTCCAGGTAGGGATGTTAGTACAATCAAACACACTGAACTTCTCCACTCCGTATAGTAACTTCTCCACTCCGCATAGTAACTTCTCCACTCCGCATAGTAACTTCTCCACTCCGTATAGTAACTTCTCCACTCCGTATAGTAACTTCTCCACTCCGTATAGTAACTTCTCCACTCCGTATAGTATTCAGTAAGGATCAGAGTCCAGTCAAGGGCTATTGCAAATCAATCCAAGCACTAATACTCCACTCGGCATAGTACTTGGGAAGGGAGTTTCCAGGCCTGTCGCAAAAGAAACGTGCAGATAGTTGTTTGTAGCTAAACACTTCATCATACTCTTAGTGACACCTAGGTGTCCTGGCCGAACACTTTGACCAGTAAGGTAAAGTTTGCACGTCCGCGTTACCACCGGCTATATAATTGCGTTGAGAAACACACCCAGCTTAGGAAGTTTCGCATGTGCCAGGCCACCACCATGCCCGTGATACCCTTAGGGACCAGTAAGGTATGTGCTATTAGTAGTATGCTGACAGTTACTCACACACGTTGTTGTTTGGTCTGAAATCGTGCTGGTTACCAGCTGGACTGACCTGGATGTGACATGACTATTGCAAAATCACCAGAGGACCTTTAACATGCTTCCGGATATGTTGATAGCCTACATGAGATGGTGGGAATGTGAGAGAATCCGCTATTGAATACGGGCACTGAGGAAAGAAAATCTATTTGCAATGTTTGCCTAAGGGAAGTAATGGCAGTTCAACCCACAGTATGTATAGTACTACTATCTAGTATCTACATATAACTACTATCCGTCTTGTACTGCTACCAGTCTTGTCATGTGACAGTTCACGGTACTGGGAACTCAATGTGCCAAGATGATGATTATGCGTTTCGTGTATCAGCACCGAGCCAACCCACTTTTAGCACCAATCTAACCCATCATTACTATCAAGCTAACCCACTTTTAGCATCAAGCCAACCCACCATGAGCCCCAAGCCACCCCTCCATTAGCATGGCTGAAAACAGCCAATAAAGCTCCCTGCCAAAACATGGTAATAATTATCTGTAATCCCAACCGTGGATTGCCATCCTCGTGATCAATGAAGTGTTCACTCAGAACTATGCCTGATTTCCACCACATACAGCTGTACCAAAACTGCCAATTGTGCAACAGGGTGTTTTGCATGCCTGCGCAGGCTGCCATACAATCGTGTGTCACTTATCCGGCGGCGTTCAGTCATCTGGCATGCGGGGTTTCCCCCAACAGCGTGCTGCCAGCTAACGGTTTCCAGTGGGTTCCCTCTACACCGTTTTAGTACACCCTGAACATTGGTTTCGGGGGGGGGGGGGGGGGGGAAACATGTCATTGCCTTCGGGGTCGGGAAACATGTGGCATGGCAAGAGTGTACCTGAGGTAACTTGTTTGGCCTCTCACTAGACTGGGACGTGATGTGTTTCCCGTACGCGAAATGAAGTATGAATCCGTTAGAAGCGTTGTTGATCTGCTTTTGCCTACTCGATATACATTCATCTATATGTGTGTTTTGAATGCATATTTGTGTGTTCATATTGGTGTGTCTTGTGTGTACTTGTATCTGTGTGTGGATATGTGTGTGCACATCGGTGTGTGGATATGTGTGTGTACATCGGTGTGTGCACATCGGTGTGTGCACATCGGTGTGTGTACATCGGTATGTGTACATCGGTGTGTGTACATCGGTGTGTGTACATCGGTGTGTGTACATCGGTGTGTGTACATCGGTGTGTGCATATCTGTGTGTGCACATCGGTATGTCTTGCTTGCATGTTGTAGATACATCCGAGGTCGGCTCCGTGACTTGGCTCTGACAATGTCCATGCAAGTTGGTCCCCATGGCAACCAAGTCTGTAACGACTGCACGCAGAAAGTTCTCAGAGAGTGTACCAGTAAGTGAGAGTGTTAACTGCACATTACTTCACTGCACATTACTTCACTGCACATTACTTCACTGCACATTACTTCACCTGTCCACAAGTCGTTAATGAAAACAATTCACGGCTCGAGTGAGAATTAGTGAGACCGAGTTGTCCGCATGTACAGGAAGGCTACCACCCTCAAGGATCCAGGCGCAGATATGCTTAGTTTATGAAATGTGTTGAATGGACGCTTGGCTGGAGGGGAGCAAACTAACACACGGAGCCCAGAAGCCATAATTATAGTTTTGACTAGGCCGTTTGTACCATTACATTTCAAGTTAAATACAATGGTAGACTTGCTTACCGTGGCATTGATCACCATTGTGTTCGACTTGAAAAGTTACGTAATGGTATGAAAGGCCTAGTTGAGACTACAATGTATATGGCTTCTGTGCTTCGTGTGTTTGTTTATTAACATTTATAGATGTCTCACAACATTTGCTGTACCGAATATCTGCACTGCCATCTGGTATGTGGTATGTGGTATGTGGTATGTGGTGTGTGGTATGTGGTGTGTGGTATGTGGTATGTGTGTAGGTGTAGTGAAGCATGGATTCCCAAATACTCATCTTTCTTGTTTATTGTAGACTACAGTGACTGGGACAGGCTGGGGCACGCCGGGGCAGGGTTGGGCGGGCTGAGCGAGGCTGGGGCAGGGTGTGTAAGGAGAGGGGGCATCAATGCACCTCACGCATGACCTTACCAAGTGTTGTGAAAGGTATCATCTGGCATTATTGATTGTCACGGAACAAAAAAGTTCATTCATGACCCTTACCCCCCCCCCCCCCTCCCCTCCCCCGAGCAGACACACTTTGACTCTGCAGCTAGAATGGATAGACACACTTTTACTCTGCAGCTAGAATGGATTGACTCTGCAGCTAGAATGGATTGACCCATCAGCACACCGAGAAGGGAAATTATAATTTCATCACTGTGACTCAGATTTCCATGCATAAGCCATCATCAGAAAGTACCCTATGTACCAATTCAAAGAAGTAACTACGACTCGCATTCTACAACTTAGCACTATATTATTGTAACATGGAAAAATGCAGGCACAAGTTATATGATCGAGTCGACCCACTAAACCAGATGTTACATTTTCCATGTTATAGTATTTCCTTAGGCTCGCCATCTGAGTTTGTAACGCAATATAGCCTGCAGGGCCAGTACAATCATGCCTATTGTCACTGCCTTCATTTCTAGTTCTCTCTGTCTCTCCCTCCCTGTCTCTCTGCCTCTGTTTCTCTCTCTCTCTCTCTCCCTCCCTGTCTCTCCCTCCCTGTCTCTCTCTCTCTCTGTCTCTCTCTCTGTGTCTCTCTCTGTGTCTCTCTCTCTCTCTCTCTCTCTCTCTCTCTCTCGCCCTCTCTCTCTCCCTGTCTCTGTCTCTCCCTGTCTCTCTCTCTCTCTCTCTCTCTCTCTCTCTCTCTCTCTCTCTCTCTCTCTCTCTCTCTCTCCTCTCTCTTTCTACAGAATGGACATCAAACCCCAGCAGTCTAGCCCACACAGGTCACAATTGTGAGTTGCGCCAGCATCACATGGCAATGTCTGGCACATGGTACACAGGTGCTCCAGTCACAGCTGCCAGTTCTGCTAATGCAGGGTGTAGCAATGCTGATGCTGCTACTTCGAGAGACACCGGACGGGGCAGTCCTGCTGATGATAGCCTGTCGTCATACCTATTGCTCAAAGCTACGACGTACACCACAGGTGACCGCTATCTAGCGAGCAACACCACTAACACATCACTACCCCCTGCTCCCCATTCTACCAGCAACAGTTTGTATGCAGATGATCCAAAACAGACATTGCCTGATAACTCCACGGCTGGAGATTCCGCACATCATTCTGGAGAGGGTGAACCCACCCTGCCCCTGGGTGATAGGACTCCCGGAGAGCCGTTACCCACATCACAGAGTACCCACCTCACCGCCCCAAGCCCAGAATTAGCCACGTATGGGCTGAACAGCCCACGATGCTCTTTTGACTCCGGGATATCATCCTTAGACTCTTCACAAACCTCGTCCATCTTGAAGAAAACCATTGCAAACATGCCACCGATACACGCTAGTCCCCAGCCACCACAGCGTAGAGTTAGCTTCTCCCTTGCGCTGGAGCAGGTGCAGACGTTTAGCCCGACTGACAGTGTGGATCTGAATATGATAGAGGTTGTGGACGCGATTGGAATGCACGACACCAACCAAGTAAGTGCTGCTCTGTTGTGGTGCATACGATTTCTAATTTTTATCTTTAACATGAACCACGAACCAGTGACGTTTCCTAAGAACTCTCCAACTCCAGTGCAGCGTTTCTTTCCACCTGTCTCTTTGTTGGGGTGCATACGATAGCAAACAAAGTTTCAACATGATCACACAAACACAGTAGCACAGGTAAACTGAACAAGTAGTGTGCTTCATGTGGACACACTCCGGGCCAGCTACATCCGTACAACAACAGTCTTCTGCCAAGTTTGACAAATGTAACTGTCGTAGACTAGTAAGACGTTTTGGGCCTTTCTTTTAAATTTGAAGTAAAGACTGGTGGACGTATTGTCCGGCAACATTGAATTTAATGTATGCCCATCTTCTCCTTGTGTATTCTGCTCTGGATTGCTTTGCGATCTGTTTAAAGTATTTTGCTAGCAGAAGCATTTCGTATTTGCAATGAAACGAGTGTAAGACAAATCCAACTCCGAGAAGCTGACAAATAAAGACGCATGCACTTTTCTAGAAACGAGAATCTTTACAGGGCTACTAGCAAACCTCCAGCCCAGATGCCCAACGAGCATTCAAGTTGTCCACGCCTTTGGAGCTACCTCTGCACCTTGACCATTTAAGGTGCTCTTGCAGATGTGGACAACGCAGTCTGATATGTTGGGTGTCACATGAGCCGTGAAATTCTCTTATTTTCCTTTAACTTGTGCTCATTTTGGTTACTTCTGATGATGACATTGCAGTAAAAGTGTGAATGGTAGAGTTAATCTTCTGTCCACAAAATCCCGCAAAGGGCGGTTCTGCCACCTACATTAACACTTACACTAATACAGTTTGTAACGTTAGATATTGTTCAATGGTGTTCTGGGTGTTTTTGTCTTGCCTGTTTGTTTTGTATCATTTGTAGAGCGTACTCGATTCTCCACTCGCCTCAAGTACATCATCCCAGCCATCACCACAAGACGACGACAACCGCATAGCAGATCTGCTGCCCGCTTCTATGGCTGGTGGCCTAGCTCAAACGCTGAGCACTGCAGAGCGTGCAAGTACCACTGATTCTCCGCACGGCTTCGATTCGAAAAGTACTATTATTACAACTGGTGAGTCAAATGTTTACGACACAGTAAGATAAGTGATTGTTACTTTAAGCACTGCTCATCAACCATGTTGAGTCAAGGTCGCCGATTGGTCTACGAGAATGAATCGACTGCATGACCCACTCAGAGTCAGTACTCCATAGCGCTCTGTGCACTGTAGGATCCGCTCAGAGTTAGTATTCCATAGCATTCTGTGCACTGAATACCAGTACACACATAGTAAGGGTTTGAGCGCCGTGGGTATCACATGTTATACCGGTTCTGATTCATAACCAGCTACAAGGAAAAGCCTATTCAGATGCCGTCCATGTGTAGCCTCATACGAACGGAATTTCCTCATTTTGTTCTATTTGTTATGTTCAAACATCAAAGCTGCTTCTTCTGTCTTATCTTCATCATTTGTGAGAACTAGACCTGGTCTAGTGAGAAGGCATTCTACTGCCTCTAATTCTGGTGAAGTAAAATAAAGTAACAACAACAACAAATCTTCCTCTTTGGCCCATGCATGTTCAACCAACAATCGTCCTTGCATCCTGTGTTCTATTTACACCTGGCACATACTCAATCCACAGCAAGCCATGCTCAGGATCACCATGACAACAACCATCGGCAGTGTGTAGGTCAGCTGTGCATCAACGTCATGCACAGCTGTCTCCTTGACAACCAGGTCAGCTATCATGTCCAGGTCGTCAAGGGAAAGTCATTCGTTGTGGATCCCGACTCGCGTTCAAACTCTCCGACAACAGAGACTACTACCTCGTCGTCGTCATTGTCATCATCGTCTTCGGGCAAGAAAGCCCATCCTTTACGAACACTGAGCAGAGCATCCAGCTGTGATTCCATAGCAACTGTATCCACGACTACCACCGCTCAGAGTCACTTTATTGTCCAATGTCATATGGTGTGTCACGGCAGCAGCAGTGGCAACAGCAAGCTACACAAGGGAAAACCCCTCCGCACCATGACAACCAAGCAGGTGGCTCAAACTCCCATATCACATGATCCAGTGTTCAATGAGCAGCTGGCTATCATCATGAAACAAACCGATGTCACTGACAAAGCTACACTGACGGTAAGAGGTTGAAAATTACCACTTGCTGAAATCAAAGCGTTTAATTCCACTTGGGAGCTCTTGTGCATGCGTGTTATCTGTGGGAAAGGTGTGTGCATGGGGGGGGGGGGGGGGGGGGGGTACGTGCATGCAAGTGAGTGCATACCGTAGTGTCGCGTATAAAAGCATGACCTGTATACAGGTCCTCCCTCGTTATAACGAGTCCGGTTAGTACCTAAACCCCGTTAGTAAATAGAAATCTGAAATCCCCTGGCGAAACGTGGTCTATACAACTGTTTACAGGTCCGGTTACAACATAATTCATTAGTACATAAAATTCGTTATAACGACCCTTTCCCAGGTCCCTGGAGTGCCAACCCCTCAGTATAAGATAATTGATCATGCAGGACCAAGACCAAAACACATAGGATAAAGCAGAACGGCACAACGTATTATATCTATGTATTCGTAGATATGTACGATCTTTTTCGTCCAAGGAAGAGCTATGTTGGAGATTTTCAATCATCTTATAACGAGTTGAAGCGTCGCTCATTTATATTGTATCGAGGGTAGCCCAGGCAAATGCGAATTACTGCCTATTTCATCTTTAGATGCAAGTCCTGTTACAAGATAAGTCTCTTTACAAGATAACTATTTTGATGACCCAGAGATTATCTACTAACGAGGGAGGACCTGTAGAAGCATGACCAGTATAGAAGCATGACTCGAGTAGAAGCCGATTTTTGAAGCGCGTCGTGACACAGAAGCATGGTTTGAATAGAAGCCGCTCCCTGCAAAGTACACGTGCACGTACGTGCGTGGCAGTATGTACTGCACAGTGCGGACTGATGATGTTGACGTAGAAGCATGTTTCGAATAGAAGCATAACTTGAATAAAAGCATGGTTTGAACCCCGGCTTATACGGCCGTAGGTACCTGCTTTTATACGCGACATTACGGTATGTGTTTGTTTAGAAGTGCAGTACACTGCTCTATCGTAAGCGGTATGGTGTCACATGTCACAACCATAACTATGGTCTGGCACATCGCTGCCATTGCCTAGTATGTCCACTACTGTCTCAGTATCTGTGTGTCTCGACATTGGATATCACAGGGGAAACCCCTTCAGCCATGTGACCACTGTTTTCTCTCTTGCCTCATGTGACATCATGATTACGTCATCACAGTCATTGGTCTAAACTGATGTGGATGATGTCACTCCTGTGTTTACGCCCTGCCAATCCAGATCAGCATACTGGAACGTCGCCATGTGGGGTTACTACGGCGACAGGTCACCAGAGAGTTTGGAACAGCAGAGGTGATGATGTCATCGAGTACACGCCAGGAGGGCAAGGTGACCAGGTACGTCGTTGATGTTCTGCAGAATAGCATCACCACCAACAGCACTAGTGGTACCGGCACTAGTAGTAGAGGCCGCAGCAGCAGCCCCAGCACTACCAGCAGCAGAAGTCAAAAGACAAGGTTGCTTGGTGCTAAACCATTCAAGAAATCACCACACCTTGCACCCTCTGCATCGTCCGCACCAGCACCTCCAGCGTCGCAATCACCTCTAACTCTCCCGCATCACAATCATGGTGCAGAAACACACTCACTGACCACACGTCGGATGTCATTGCCCGCGTACAATGGCCATCAACAAATGCAGGATAAACGCCGCAGTGCATCTTTCTCCGTTGGCGTGGCAAACCCAATGGCAGCTCAGTAGGTTAACGTGATCCCCAGCTGAGTCTGGCAACAATAGTATAGCAAGATTTTTTCTTTTCTTTTCTTTTCGACTTCTTTTTTTCTTTTTCTTGCTATAAGAAACCCTGCTATCACCATGCAAAGTGGCCATTGCCTGTCCCAGCCATGTATCATTGTATTGTTTGGAATACATGTAAAACTAAGACTGAGGCTAAACTGTGAATATCGAAGGTGGTCTGTCTCGTCCATACCACACTGTACATGCTCTGGCTGTATGGCCAGTTGTCATACCAACATCACTGTCTATACACTGGCTGTATGGCCAGTGTTGCCAGTGTTTGCAATGCAAGCGTTCAACATTGTGCAAGTCCGCAGTAGTGAATAGTGTTGCATCACTTGTATACCTAGATAACGGCATTACACCCTGCAGCCTATTCACCCTTTGCTTTTCAGTATTGTTCTATGACGTATTGGAACATGAATAATACTTGCAGCGAACTACTGTATGACATCATCTGGCTTAACGTTATGAGTCATAATAATTACTCTATGACATCATCTGTCTAATGCATGATAATAATAATAATAATCCTTAGTGCATCACATCATCCTACTAACTGTTTTTGGATAATGACAGATAACTTTGTTCCCCTCTCTGCTACACTCTATGTTTGGACAGTAAGAAAGAGATTGCAGTATTTTAAGATAATGTTTTATCCAATATGGCATTTTTCTTTTGTGCGAGCTGGCTCAGATATCACACTCAACAGAATCCTTTTTCCTTTTTCCTTTTTCCTTGTCCATCTTGTCCATCTTGTCCATCTTGTCCATCTTGTCATGCAGCTGCCTTATTGTGTGGCGTTTGCCAAACCATATTGTCCAGGTCACTGGGAGCTTGATCAGATGCCTGGCTGAGAAATGCTACAAGCTATTATCCAGTAAATATCTGTAGCTGATCCAATACCCGTAGCTGATCCAGTGCCCGTGACTGATTTAATCCCCATAGCTGATACAATACCCGTAGCTGATTCAATACCCATAGCTGATAGCTGATTCAATATCCGTAGGTGATTCAATACCCATAGCTGATTCAATACCCGTAGCTGATTCAATACCCATAGCTGATTCAATACCCATAGCTGATTCAATACCCATAGCTGATTCAATACCCATAGCTGATTCAATACCCGTAGCTGATTCAATATCCATAGCTGATTCAATACCCATAGCTGATTCAATACCCATAGCTGATTCAATACCCATGACACTATACTGATTCATTACTCATACTCACAGCAGGGTTCTAGCCTGGTAAAAATAGTAGTGGGGAAGGGGGAGGAGGGAGCAGCGGAAACAGTTACCCGCAACCCCTTGTTCCGTTTCCTAAAAGTGTCTTGCTGTGCCAAATGCAACGCTCTGGTGCGAACCCCCGACTTCACCCCACACAAATGTGACATTGCGAACTCTCTATTAGTGACTAGACACTGCATTTTCGTTGAATGGCATGAAAAGACACAAAAGTCGACAAATGAGTAGGGAGCGCTCAATCAGAGTAGGGTTGCGCTGTGCCAACCCCCCCCCCCCCCCTTGGCTAGAACCCTGCACAGCCAATTCAGTACCCATAGCTGATCCAGTACCCGTTGATGATTCAATACCCATAGCTGATCCAGTATCCATAGCTGATCCAGTATCCATAGCTGATCCAGTATCCATAGCTGATCCAGTAAACATGCTACCGGATCAGCTACATGTACATGCTACCGGATCAGCTAAATGCATCGGATGCATGTAGCTGATCCGGTACCCGTAGGTGATCCAGTGCCCATAGCTGATCCGGTACCCGTAGCTGATCCGGTACCCATAGCTGATTCAATACCCGTAGCTGATCCAGTGTCCATAGCTGATCCGGTACCCATAGCTGATCCAGTACCCATAGCTGATCCGTTACCCATAGCTGATTCAATACCCGTAGCTGATCCAGTACCCATAGCTGATCCAGTACCCATAGCTGATCCAGTACCCATAGCTGATCCAGTACCCATAGCTGATCCAATACTGCAGGGGTGTAGGCAGGGGGTGCTTTGGGTGCCAAAGCACCCCCTCAACAATTTCGATCTTTTTCGAAGCTGGTTCGAGAGAGACGCGGCATGATACGCGGACCGCTGATCACATGTGCAACTCTGCACAATGATCGTACACTGTAGCAGTCCCTGATCACAGTAGGTATTGTACTACAGTCGTCCCTCTCTAATCCGGCACTTTATAATCCAGCACCCTCGATAAACCAGCACAATTTTCAGTAGCCAAAATGTCCTCTTCATGCACATTGCAGCAGTAAATCAGATTTGTTAATCCAGCACCCTCCCTAATCCAGCAGATTTTCGTGGCACAAATGGTGCCGGATTATAGAGGGACCACTGTACTACCTGGTTCAGACCTAACCTTACAATGTATCTGAAAGTGAAACCAATCCACATGCAGTTGACTATTTTGTCTCTTGATTGGCCATTTTGCAATGACACCTTTAGCCAAGGGAACTCCGCTTCGTACCTGTCGTTGCGCAGTGTCACCTCAGGCCTCAGCAGGCTCAGCACACGATTTGTATCGCACTCCAAATGAATCATAAAAACACGCTATGGGTAGAAGTAGCAATACCGTCTATGAAAAACACACGTCAGACATACTAGTGGCAGTTTATTTCCGTAGCTATGCAGAAGACGTTACTTCAGTAACGTCTGGCGCTAGCCAGGGTCCACACAGCTTTAATTTGGTATTTATTTGTTTGTTTGTTTGTTTGTGTGCTTGTGTCACGCCTGGAGCTATCCGTATCTGTCCCGTATCTGTGACTACAAAGGCTCTACAGGATTGTACATAACAGCTGGCCACAATATTTGCTGGCTCCCGTATCTGTCCCGTACCGTACCATCAAACACAGCTGGCCACAATATTCGTCGTATTATGTATACGACTCCCTGATGTAGAGGGAGATTTGGAAAGAAATAGGGAGACGAGGAGGAAATGAAATTAGAATGGACGTTAGTTGCCGAATAGGTGATAGGATGCGTCAGCAAAAACATACTTTGGAAGAGAGATCCCGTCGTCTCCAAAATAAGCGTGAACGGGCGATTCAGCGCCGGTCACAGGGAACGTCGGAAGAGAGATCCCATCGACTCCAGAATGCCCGTGATCGGCAGAGTCAGCGGCCGGTCCCAGGAAATGTCAGGATAGACATCCCGTCGACTCCAAAATAAGCGTGAACGGGCGATTCAGCGCCGGTCACAGGAAACGTCGGAAGAGAGATCCCATCGACTCCAGAACGCCCGTGATCGGCAGAGTCAGCGTCGGTCCCAGGAAACGTAGACAGGATAGACAGGATGCGTATTACAGGAGACCCAAGTTGCTGAAGACCAGTAGTCATTGCTGATAATGTGCAGAAAAACTAAATCTGCAGCCTCTTTTGCCATCGGACAGGATACGTATTTTAGGAGACTGTAAAGTTATGTAATGTGCTCCACAGGCAACCATGCATTCGGCCGTCAGCAGCAGTTAAGTACAAGCACACTATCAAGGTAAGGACATTATTTTTGTATTATTGTATTGTATCGCATTGTATGGAATATAATTTTACCTCATTGGCTCAACAGGTCAATGTTTTACTACAAAAAGGCCAGAAAATCCGATTACTGTATTATGTATTAAAATCAACTAATTTTCGCTGGCGATTTAATTTCGCTGATTTTGCCGCTTGGTACTAACCGGCCAAAATAAATCGCAGGCCAAAGTTTGTCATAGAGGCAAATGATGCATGATTGAGCAATGGATGCATGTGAGAGCGAAAATACCGATCGATTCCTTTTTGAAAACTCCAATCGTCCAAAGTTTAATGACGGCGAAAAGTTTCGTTTCGAGATCGGCCAAAGTTTCTCATCGGCCAAAATTTGTTGATTTACAGTATAAGGAGATAAAAAGAAAAGAAGGAGCAAACCAAAAGTGGATGAAATTAGAGAAAAATAACAATCCGCAATAAATTCTGCAAATACTTTTGCCTAACTCATATTCAAACTGATTGAAACGTTTTTGCAATACAATGATGTGGCCAATCAACGGAAAAAAAAACATTTCCATCAGTTCTAATAACATGTACGATGAGCTAGGCAAAAAAGCATAAAAGCATAGCGTAGGGCCCTGAGCTTCCAAGCTCTCTCGTTCGTGTTATTATTATTATTAGACACAATCTCATAGCATGTGACAAGCATAGCTAGTGCAGGGACAGAATCCCCTGAGACAAGGGCGTTGAGCCAGCCACGGCAATAGTAAGCTAGGAAAACAAAGCAAATATGAATTAAAGCAGAAAATGAATGGAAAATTACAAAGAAAAACGATTAACGGAAGTGAGCACTATCAAAATTCGTGCATCACCCAGGTATTCGAGAATGTTCTTCGATGATAATTATTGCGTCTAGTTCAGTTGTGATAGTAGATCTTTAAACTGACCAATAGAAGAACAAGTTTTCAGACCGTATGGTAATGATAACCAATGAGAGTAGCCGGAAAACAAAGGGGACTTTAGATACTGGGCTGACTTAACAAGAGGCAGGGTGAGCGCGTTACGGGTTGAGCTTGTCGAAAACCAATTGTACTTCATCATGTATGAAGGGGTTTTATGAAGAAATATCTTATGAACCAGTGTACAGAGATGGTGCTTATGACGAACGGAGAGAGGAGAAGTGTGTGCAAGTCGATAAAGGGCATCCGAAGGAAAACATCGATCCTTGTTGTAAAGAATTTTAAGTATAAATCTATGGTGGACTTCTAATTGGCTCAGAGTTGTGTCAGAAAGGCCACACCTAGCGGTATCGCAATAGTCGAATATAGGGAGAATATAGCACTGATAAAATAATAGTTTACACTGGATGGGCAAATGAGTGCAATGTGATTGTAGTACCCCTAAGGCTGAACTGGTTCGCTTGCATACACAGTTGACATGTGCAGCCCAAGAGAGTTTGCAGTCAAACATCACACCTAGATGTTTGTGCTGAGTAACAACACGGATAGGCATAGTCGAGTCAGGGAAGAATAATGGTTGATCAGGAGGGGATGAAGAAATATACATGGCTTCTGTCTTGTCTAAATTGGGCTGGAGTTTCCACGTTTGCATCCACATGACAGTGCTGCTGATGCGATGCTGCATGGTAAGGAGTAATTGTGCAGGGGAGGAATCAGAACAGATAAGGCCAGTGTCATCCGCATACAAACTAACATCGGGGACAACTGAAGGTAGGTCATTAACGTAAAGCAAGAATAACAAAGGACCCAGAATGGAACCTTGGGGCACTCCAGACGTTACAGGGAGGGGATCAGACAAGAAAAAGAACAAGCGAACAGCCTGAGAACGAGCAGACAGATACGAGGATATCCAACGCAAGGCAGCATCCTCCACCCGGAAGGTGACCTTCAACTTGGCAAGTAAGCCACGATGCCAAACGGTGTCGAATGCCTTAGCCAAGTCGAAAAACACCATTCCCACGTGCTCCCCACAGTTCCTCTTTGTCGCTATGTCTTGGACAAGTCGAGTCACCTGGTATTGAGTTGAGTCACCACGGCAGAATCCCGACTGAGCTGGTGAGAGAGCCGGAGCGATGTGCAGGTAGAGGGAATCGAATACAATACGCTCACAAAGTTTGGAAACTGTGCGCAGCAGAGAGATGGGGCGGTAGTTTGCCGGGCAAGCACGGGAGCCTTTATTCTTGTAAAGCGGTGTCACGATGGCGGATTTCCAATCCTGTGGGAATGTACCAGTTCGAAATGACATATTAAAAATAATGGCGAGAGGATAGGCTATTGATGGTGCAAGAGACTGCAGCACTTCATTCGG